TTAAATCAAATTTGTCCCGAATTCTCGATTAAAATGTTGATTTGTGGTTGGGTTGTGTGGGTTGTGTGATTTTAAAATGAAAAATGAACTTAATTTATGAGTTATCTAATCAAAACTCACTAATCCAAGATGAGAAGTCTAAAAGGAAATAGGCTAAAAGTTCAGCTGCCAAACAGAAGGTAAAATCAAGATTTTACCTGATTTCACGATAAAATCTAGATTTTACCGTGAAATCCTCAGATTTTATGAATTTCAGATTTTAGTATAGATTTTACACGAAATGTCTTGTTGAAATCGTAAAATTGTAAGATTTTAAGATTTAAATCTAGATTTTGACAACAATGATTGTGATTATATAAGAAAATGGGTAATGTTTAATGAAAAGGGGTGAATTGAGCAAGTTTTGTCAGGATTTTGTGTTTAATGAAAAGAATCTGGTCCCAATCCTTGAGTTTCTTGATTTTACTAATAATTCTTTCTTTAAAATATTTATTGCACTTCGTACTTAGTTTTGGGAGAAGAATTATATACAAACTAGTTTCTCAGGGTTTTGTGTTTAATTCACTAGATATTTGTTACCAATTCCCTCCAAATTTTTTTTTTCATTATTCTTCCCTTTTCTTTGCTTTTCCATTTCAATTGTGACCGTAGTATCACCATCCATGCAAGCTAACATATCATGGCAACAAATTCATCAGTTAAGGGAATGCAAATCAAAAGATTCATCAAATTTAGAATTTTATCTTGCCTACTGAAATTAATGTAAATAGAATTCTAATTATTCTTCTTTGTATATTTGTACACATTAATTGTCCAGGAAAACACACCAATAAAAATACAAATTATCTCTTTCCTTTTTTAAAAAGGAAAAATAGTTTCATACTATTGTACAATTGTTGGCGTCCGTGGTTCAGTCGCCAAATTTCTTACAATCATTGCCCCAGTGATGTACTTCTAGTTTTCTACATCTATATATATAAAATAAAATGCTATTCTATGCATTAATTAGAATTTGTATTTAATCATTTAAGAATTGCATGTTGAATTACTTGGAAAAAAAAGAGGGTGAATTTCATATTAATGCATAAAGAGGGAGTTTCATTTTAAGTGAAGTTAAAAGGACACATTTAACTATATATTTAAGGTATAGTAAACTAATACCAATATATTCATTATTATCTTTTATTACATGTATATTAAACCAAAAAGAAAAAATAGACAAAACTTTTAATTTTCTTTTTCATCAAAAGTTTACTAGGTATAAAAAATATGTTTAAATCTTCTTCTTTCATGAAATGTTCACATTATTATAGTTAAGTTTCTAGTATTGTCACCCATATCTTGAAATTCTCTTTGTACTGTATATAGTCTATTGATTTCTTCTCAAGACAGCATTAAGGAAAAGGACAATGATAGGCTTACCCTCTGCCGTTACACATCTATCCACACACTAACAGAATCCGTCAAGTATACTAACGGTCTCCGTTACACACCTAACCCTTAAACTTCTCCATCTTCTTCAAATCTAGAGAGTGCTGGGTTTTTTAATCTTGCTGCCATTAATGTAAGAAGCAAATATCCAACCAAAAAAAGTGTCTGACGTTGCCTGTTGCTGCCAACATTCCATCTTTTTTGGAGCACCCATTAGACATTTTCAACAACGCACAAAGAATTCAAAAGAAATTTCCAGCAACTCACAACAAATAAAAAAAAAAAAAAAACCCAGAATAAAATCATTTGAAATTAGGAAAAGACAAGAACCTGGATCGGGTTCTCACAACGAGAACCCAATCTCACAATGAGAACCCGATTTGAGGAGGGAAAAGAAGGAAGAACCAGGTAATCACCTACTAGAATTGCTTCTCGCCATGAGAACCCAGTCTCACGGTGAAAACCCAATCTGGGTTCTCACGATCGGGTTCTCACCGTGAGAACCTAGATCCCATGAGAACCCACAGGTTCTCCAAGAGGGGGGAAGAGAAGGAAGAAGAAGAAAAAGAAAGGAGGAGGAGGGAAAAGAAGGAAGAACCGGGTAATCACCAACTAGAATTGCAGGTTTTGTTTGCACTGATCTTAACCTCTGAGGAGAGGAAACAAGCTAGAGTAGAAAAGAGAGGAGAGAGAAAAAAAGGCTGGGTAACAAACACCGTCAGTTTGCATAATGGAGATAGTTAAGGTGTAATAAAATATGTAACGTTAGAGTGTGTGTATAT